AGAGCTTTGAGTTATGGGATCTCATTCTTCCAGTTCAGCTATAACAGTATAGGTAACCCAGTGTACTGTATGGCATTCCAACCTTATTCTCAAGAGAAATCTTTAGACTTAGTGCTTTGAATGGACTTAAGGCACAAGACTGTTAACATCCCAGAAATGTTAACCATGATGAGAGTCTAATTCTGTCGTTCTGATTTTTAGAAAAAGCAAATTGATTTAATGTAATTTCTTTTCAAACCATATGACCATATTACTAGTCATTCCCTCAGCTTCCATCACCTCTGTACATCACTAACGTATCTGATTAGAAAAGAAGAAAAGTGGATTATTACACCAGTATTATACCCACTCTCTGCTTAATGGACTCAATTCGTTAAAAGTACATAAATAACATATATCATAAATGTCTAAATGTGTTTGTGGGCATAACTATGCAGAGTGAGGGGAAAAGATCCATTCAGTAATATGAAGGTCCATAAGACTAATCTTTCTGTAGTTCATTTCAATTAAAACTTTGATACTCCAATCTCTTTGTATTACATAGTGAAATCTTGACTGTGCAATCTGTGCTGTTTGAATCTTTCTCATATGTCCAAGAGCATCTTCAGAGCTGATATATAGCTTGCCTGCTCCACGGCCCTTCGAATACTACACTAAAGTATGTTCTTTTTTGTGTTGCAGAGCCTGGGAAGAAGGGAAAGTTCTTATTTTTGATGACTCTTTCGAACATGAAGTATGGCAGGATGCTGAAAATTATCGCCTGATATTCATTGTGGATGTGTGGCACCCTGAGTTAACAGCACAACAGAGACGCACCCTTCCTGCTATTTAAGGGGTTCCTTCTGATATGTGGCACAGAGGAGCTTTAACTCTTTGGAGTATGCAAATGGGATTAATTTATCCAGCATACGAAGTATACAAGTATTTTAAGGATAAGAAAGGATGACATTCTACAATCAGAGAGGACTTAGTTTAAAAAAAAAAAGAAAAAAAAAGGAAAAAACTAAAAAAAGGAAGCCATTTTTTGTTTCATACCGATACAGCACTGATGTGTATTGTTTTTCTGGCTGCAAGTTTGAAAATACGAATTCTGTCAGCCAAAAAGCAATAGGTGTGGATTTTCAAACTGAGGAATGTGCAGATGGTTTTGCCATGCCTATATTATATGTACAGAACCAGTCAGTTGGTCATATGCTTGACCACATTCAGGCACAAGATTTATGATTCTACATCTAGGAAATACTTCCCACGCTTTTATCTGGGAAGCAATATGTAAGATATTTGCAAACGTATGCACACAACCGACTTTGAAAATCAGTCTGCAGTTGTAATGTTAGCTGCTTTAGGCTTAGAACGTCCCTATGTTATCACTGTAGATAATGTGAATGGATAATGTGAGTTTTGTACTTTTTCTACCTGAGTAATTGTATTTTTCTAGCTTAATTATGAACAAATCTTCTTTAATTAACCACTATTTTTTAAAAAAAAACACTATATATACAAGTGTGTCTCTAGCTATCTGCAGAAGGAAAACATTATGTATGAACAGATTTAATTTTTGCTGAGTGTGGCCTTCTTTTGCCTTCCTGGAAATGCAAATAGAAACTTGCATAATCAGCTGCCTAGTGAAGCTTTGTTCTTCTAAAACAAAATAGTTCTCTTAGTTAGCAGGCAACTTTCAGTTTGATAATGTGATTTTGGAAAATGTTGAGCAAATGTGACATTTCTGGGCTCAGATTGTAAAGTGCTTGACAGTTCATAGGATTATATGGTGAGCTGCTGTTTTTCCTGTCGTTACAAAAGCTGGTGATGTGATATCCTTTTTCTACTCAGCAAGGGTCTGGGACACCTCTTTCCAGGGGCTCCTCCTTGGCTGCCCTTGAGTGGTCATTCAGCAGAGAAAAAATATATGAAGAATTTCTTGTGTTTTGGGCAGAAGGACTAGGTCTAACTTGTGTTTCCTGCCAGAATGCAGAGCAGACAAAGAGCTTCAGGTTATTAACTTGTATTAACTTCTGCCACCAGTATCCTACAGAGTACTAGAATGATCCTCTAATTGATCTAATGGTGTTTTCCTTATTTTGAAACGTAGAACATAATGCTGAATGAGTCTGATCCCAGTACTGTTTACAGGATGCTCTGTATTTGCCATACAGAATTTACTATATCGTAGAAAGGCCTATTTTCAAGAAAGAGAACTTGCTGGATGTTTAAGAAGTTGTCAAGTCTTTCGGGTCTGTACTGTTTAATGGGAAATGGAGAGTGCAGGACTCTCCACTACTAACTTCTAAGAACACTAACAGGAGAGAGAGACCAGAGGTTGCACTGTGATGTTTATGTCAGACTGTGACCTACTCACTTGCAACACCAACTGGGTGTGGACAGTTGTACTGGGATGCTCAGGACTCATCCAGAGCAGTGGCATCACTTCTGAGGGTTGTAAGAGACAAACACTAAGCAAGGAGGCATTGAAGTTACTTAGTCTCCACAGCTTTGGCTTTGTTGTCCAAAGGACACTGAACAGTCATCTTATTTGTGTAATACTCAGTGGTTTATTACTGCAGAGACTATGTCGTGGTACCTAAATATTGTGACCTGAATGCTGCATTTGCTAAAGCAAAATACAGATAAGAGCTTTGCATTCCCATAAGCTGAATGCTCTTCAGATTTTGTATTTTACTAGGTAATTAAATTTTGTAATGCCATATAACACATGGTGATTACACCATAAATTAGTGTAACCAGTTTCTGGAAGTGTGCACTTTAATTTCCTTTTTGAATAGTAAACTGAAAAACTGTCTCTGATCAAGAGTCAGTTTTAGACAGCTAAGATAATTAGGTTTTAATGTGTTGTCCATATCAAAAATAATCCTGAGACTATACACAATGTACAAGAAAGTAACAGTTCTCAGTTAATAATAATGAAAAATGAAAAGATTTATATGTTTCACACTTTAGAAAATTTAAAGATACTTCTGGAGGTTATTAGGAGAATTATGCAAAAGTGGAAATAAGGTACTCATTATTGTGAGGGATAAAAGAGTAAAAGTGTTTTTTAAATCTCCTGGTAGTTGTTAAATCAGAGGCTGCATTTTATATCTCTGTGAAGTGATCAAGCAGTATAAATTATAAACTATTTTGTAATTCTCTTAAATAAAGGCAGTTTGTAAAGAAAGAAACAAAAACTTTTGAAACAAAAATTGGTGGTTTAGGAATATTTTTATTGATATTGCATTTTAGTTTCTATAGCTCAGATTAAATGCTAAAGGTAAAATTTTGGAGTTTTATTTATGAAAATCCATGCCATCCTTCATATTGTTTCATTGTTCTTTTGAAGACTCATACTTTATCTTTTCCAATTGCAATTGACAAATAGATAAAATTGGCAAATGGATAAAAGTAATCTACCCAAACCTTGTGTGTGCTGGAGTAGCACTGTTCATTAGGTTGTGTAGTGATACATTGGCCATTTAAAAATCTTAAGTGCCTTTAATAAGACAAGGTATACTATGAATAGCTCCTGCAACACTGAAGTGAATCTACTCCATGCCTACAAGGCAGGAAGCTGAGAGCATGTTGTTTTGTTAGGTACAGTTACTGTATTAGCTATATACATGGGGAAGATACATATAGCAGACTACAGAAATTATGCAGTGAACAACTGGTATATTATTTTAGGTATTCCTGTTTGCCAACTGGTATTTTGTCTTGAAAAAGCTTTTCAGCATTGGAAGTACCAAGAGAAGAAATGAATGGAAATGCTTTTTAAATGGAGATCCATTGCAATTTAACTTTTTTTTTAGTTAGGTTTATTTACAGAAGGAAATGGCAGACAAGGGCAATGTAGTCTGTAAGGCAGTATATACTCATCATGATGATAGGAGGTGGGTTCCATCCTGCCTGTCATTACCTTTTTTGCACAGTCTCTATAAGATCCTACGGTTAAATACAAGCTTCATACAGTTATATACAAGGCATCATATGTATTTATTCATATCACAGTTATAGAAAAGAAATAATTCTAATCCTTTGCAAGGTTTGATCTTCTAGGGCTGGATTTCAGTGATATTTGCACTTCTTGGACAGAACAAGACCCACTTCAATGAACAGTGATTGTAACAGATCATCACAAAGACTCAGTGGCAGTGGGGGTAACAGAGATTAGGTGGTTTTCTCTGTATTAACAGAGAAAAATCACAAACCAAAGTATTTCTTCCTTAATGCTGCAGTATACTAGCCAATGTCTGTCTTTTTTGTCTAAGTTTTTACTTTCTGCTTTAAGCAAGTTCTCTTTGACAAATCCAAATGCCTTTGAGTGTCCGTGAGCCCAGGGAAGGGAAGGGAGCTATATCCTTCTACTGGGACTTGACATCCTGTAATAGGTGGTAACGTCAGGGGATTGGGAATGGAAGAAATCCCAAAGATAAATGGGCTCAATCATCTTCTATGTTTAATGTTCCTGGAAGCTGCAAGCTTCTGCTTCTTTTTCTAACTCCTGTGTTGCCTTGCGTGGACCATCCACTGCCTTAAAGACTCACTCTTTATCATGGAGGCCAGGCTTTGTATCAATAACGTGTTGCTGTAGGAGGAGGTTAGTCTGAGTGAGGTTATTCTGTACAAATACTGGTGCTTAAGTCCCAGGTGTGTTGATAGGATCTGGCAGGATGTCCTTTCTGCCCTGTGCAGGCATAAAATGTTGTTGTAGATAAAGGCAGTATTTTGTTAGTCCATCTGTTAGGGCTGACCGTGTCCACTTGAACTATATTGTCACTTCAGTGTAACACTTAAAAATTCAGTGAATGTTCCAGGGGCACATTAAAAACCCTTGTGCCTATTATCATCTCATTTTGTATGTATGGTTTACTCTGCTACCTTTGATATGTTGTTGCTAACCACTTGTTCTAGTAAATTGCCAATATATGGCAGTATAATTGAAGAATAAAGGTGTGCACAGTGGTTGTAACTGTTTTAGGAAATAAAGTCACTGAACATGCAATTCGATAATGATTTTTCTTTTATTTCTTTAATCTGGTTTCCATTTCAATGAAGGGATGGTATTCTTTGCAGCTAGAGCAAAGAGAGAAATAACAAACTGATCTTTGGCATTTCAGTTCTTCTATTTTTCAGCATTTCCTTCTAGCAGAAGCTGGTACTGAATAATTAATTATAAGTTGTCCTTTTCCATTTTAGCCATGGCCTGTATCTGCGATCAGCATACCCTTCTGGCTACACCTTTCCTTGACTGCAGGAGGGAAGGGGGTAAATGGCTCTGCAGAGCTTTCATTTGTTGTTGTGACCTGAATAAAACAATCTGGATTGAACCATTAATCACTGCTGAATGTGTCCAATGGGTCTCCCTGGCACCCCACCACCACCACATGTGCACACACATGCACACGCACATATCTAATAGGCTCCTGAGTTGCCTGTGGAAAAACACATTAAAGTTAAATAGTTGCATTTCAAATTGTGCGCGTCTGCTGCCCACACAGCTCGTTCCACTTTAGCTGACAGTTTTACGAGGGCTTCAAAAGTTAAGAACAATTTTTGCTAGATACTGTAAAATGCGACCTCCCCCCTATATAAGCAGCACGGATGAGGCAGTCACAAAGTATCATGTTGAATGGCATTATACTGGCATTGGGGTTTTTGGGGGTTTTTTTTTGGTTGTTTTTTTTTTCTTTTTTTTTTTTAAATGCAAAATCCTTCTGTAAAACTCAAATACTGTGTAAATGATGATTCCGCCCTCTGACACAGATTACACTTACTGATTACAATGCAAAGTTTAAATTCGAGATACTTTTCTTTAAAACTCAACCCCTTAGCTTCTATAAAATGAACATCCCTGATGAAGTCTTCAGGAAAACTACTGACATACCCTGGTTTCTTTAAACAGAGAATGCAGTTCCACCATTTCCAATATTTTAATGTCATAACTCAAAAAAAAAAAAAAAAGAAATTCTTTGTATATGGACAGATTCCTGTGTCAATAGAAATTTCTCAGTTTTTGTTCAGCGTCGGCCGCACGGACGGATGACTGGTGACGGTTGTTACTTGGTCAGGAAACATGAAGGACTTGCCATCAAGCAAAACACATGTGTGTGTGCATGTGTCTGTGTGTGGTGTGCTCTGTGGGTCTCTGGTACGGTGGAAGTCTGTTCATGGATCTGTGTCTGTTGGGCATGTGGGACCTCAGTCCAGAGCCAGCAGTGGTTGGGTGTTCTCGCTTTCCCCCGGGTCTTCGTGTTTCAGTGTGCCAGCTTCCACCACGGACTGGGACCTGAAAGCAAGAAGACACACGTGCTAGCAAGGACTGCTGCAGAAGCACTCACCTTCCTGGTTTTGTTTTATGATCTTTCTTTGCTTTAGTCCATTTTCATCTTTATGGCTTCTTAATTATTTTCTGTGGAAAGCATAAGGAATTTGAGAAACATTCCTTTAAATACAAACAGGGATGTGACTCACTGGAAATCTCAAACACTGTCAAAATATTTAATGCTTACCTACTATCCATAATGCTGAACGTGCTCACCAACTTAAAGACCTGACCCTGCAAAACCATGAGGTCTGTGGGTGCTTGATGTCTTCCTAGGCAGAACTGCTTGTGTGAAGCAAGCTGACTGCTGGAAAGCAGTCATTTGCACAAGTGCTTGCAGGGGCAAGTCTCAGCTCATGCTTGTTGCAAATCTCAAGAAATACAAGTAGACAAATCACATGATGTAGGAATTTAAGGGGCAGGGCTACCATGAGTTACACAAGACCAATGAAGAAGCCAGAGTTAATATGACAATGAGGAAGCTTCTGGAGTGCCCAGTCCTGCAGTTTTTCTTCCTGTCTACACCCCTGAAGGAGAACTTTATTCAGGGTTAGTCTATTTTATACTCATTTCTGTCTTCAAGGTGGGAAGCATAACTGAACCGTTGTTATTAGTGGACCAAAAAACTCCAACATGTAAAAAAATGAGTAAACGCTAGAGAAAGTAGAACATCATGATTTCTTGCAGTAACAATAGCTGAATGGGCTTAAAATGGTGGAAAAATTCAAGACTCTTTCATTTTCTGAGGTCTGTGTGCTCTAATGTTTGCCTATTGAAGGAGGATCTGATGAGTTTATTGTTACAGAGATTTGTTATCTTCCATTTTCTCCGCTTTGGGCTAGAAGTTACCTCTTAGCAAGTTTGGAGTGAACAATGAGCTTTAGAACAAAATCACTGTGTGATTCGGGAACTTTTATAAAGGGATCTTTTTCAAAAGTGGGGGTAGAGTCATCCAGCCCAGTCATTCACATAGTGCATAGTATGATTTTAAGGAGCCAGTTTTCTCATTGTTAGCTTTTTATAATTAGGGGTAGCTCTCACTCCCTACATGATGTGTTTGTGGTTCCCAGTTGTTCATTTAAGCTTTAGCTATTTCATGAAATTAGATGTCACCTCTCTTTTGATAAGAATCCTTAATAAATTCCATCCTTTGGAACTCTAGCACTTGATCAGGATTGAATACCATGACTGTGAATAACTTATATCATAATTATACTTATGCCTGGAGCTTTCATTAAAGCATAATAAAAAAATTTCATTAAAAAAAATCTCCAAAGAAAGATAATAAAAACTGGTTGCTCAATGGGAAGATTTTATGCCAAAATTTTCAGAGAAAAATTTTGTTTGCCCAAATGTTTTCTCTGCATATTTTTTACAAATATGTGACATGCATAATGTTTATGATTGCATTTTAATATAGAAAAGCAACTGCTTTGGGACATTATGCAAAATGGCAATTTACATATTTCTAGTACATGGCAGTAAAAACTAATCATATGGCTTCAAAACTGATACAGAATGGATTTAAATCACAACATTAGCAGGTTTTTACTTTCTTTTCTGGATTACCAGATTAAATTATTATTAAATAGTACTGATTAATAGTTGTCACCACTGTATTGCTTCTGCTTGATCCACTGCCCTTCAATGGATGTAAAAAGTTTCATATCCTTTGCAGCATTTGCCAGCACACAGCAGAAAGTTTCCTTTCTAAGTCAACTGTGAAAAATCTCACAATTTTGCCTTTTGTGGTCACAGCTGATCACCTCTGCTTTCATGTCATTACATACACAAAACTTCTTGCATCTAGAACAGCAAGATACCAGTTTCTCCTCCATACTGGTACTTGGATTCACACCACCTTGGGAAAAATGTAATGCCAAGCTCTGTGTGCAGGTCCCATGCTATTCCTTTTCACACAGAGACAAAATAGCCAGAGCATCAAGTAGATGCATTGTAACCCACCTGACCTCCAAATTCAAAATGCCAAATGATTCAAATGCTATGCCCAGCCTTTCTGAATAATGTGAAGAGGGATCAAATTGGGATTTTCGTATCTGCTAAGCTCTGCAGCAACAATTTCTGTTCTGTTTCTGCTAAAAGCTGCTTTTAGCAGAAATATATATCCTAAAATAAGCAATTCTCACATCTGTCTGAAGGGCACAGTCATGGTTTGAACAATCATCGCTATTTTCTAAGACACCACAAAAAAAGGACTTGTGTTTGGATTTCCATTTTCCTAATACATCCGGGGTTTTTTGTTTTTGTTTTTGTTTTTTCCTGAAAAATGCTTGTGACTCTGGGTTTTATAAGACTTGTAGAGGACTCCTGTCCTTCTGGAGTAACAGGTGGAAGCCAAGAGGCCATCGTAGTGCCTAAAATCATGCAATTTAATTACACTTAGAAGAATGAATGCAGCTAGTTTCTAATGTTCAAGACATGTCAAAGTCATTTTGACCTAGGCAAGGAATGAACTAATCATCTAAGCAGGAAACAAAAATTGCATTGGCCACCTCCTCCTATCAATACATTTTAGTCACTTGTGTTTTGATGTGTCTCACCATCAGACATCTATGGTCACTGTGTGATAAATGACAGAGAGAAATAAACATTCCCAGGGTGCTATTCATCTGACCTGTTCTAAACATATGGTCTAAACATTATGATTCATTGGTTACCTACATTCAAGTCCCTGTTCTGATGAGTTCTCATCTGTTAACACCAGAAAGAACAGGTTTCATGACTTGTGAGGCAATGTTTCCTACATATCATGGCCTGGACTGCCTCACACCTTCAATATTCACCTTCACTATATTACCTTCAATACTCACCAGAAATGTGACACTTGTCCTGCAACTCTGGAATTTTAAATGAGCATAACTGAATTCAAAGACTTCTGGTTTCCTCCTTTTTCAGTTAAAAATTCTCAGGAACCAGTTTGAAAGATGCTTGTTTGTGGAGGATCTGGTTGACTTAAATTTTAGCAAAAGTAGACAACTGTTTGTATCACATGGATAGGGTCACTGCCCTAAGCTGGCAGACAATGTGCTTGTCTTTCTTTAACATGATCCATGCAGGAGACTTAACTCCTGTAAAAGTACATGATCACAGTGGGGTGGGAGCTAAATCCAAAGCAATTAAAAGACAAGTCAATGCCCATAGACTTTACTACCCTAGATTCCAAGGCTGGATAACCTTGCTTAGGAGAGCAAAGTGAAAATGTAAAGAGAAATGAATTCCAAGTCTTACTTCTGAACCCTAGGTACCATCTGAGTGTGGTCCATTTAAAGCGTCAATCAACCCCCCCACGGTTGTTATACTGTTCAGCAAGAATATTTGGAAATCTGGAAAATCAACAGTACCCAGCTGTTTCTCCAGCAGGCCAGCCATATATTTCAAATGACAGCACTGCATAGGTATGTACATCAATATCTAAGAGAACAGATGGCTTTATGTGTGTGGTCACTTTAATGCAACTGTCTGCCGTTCAGTCAAAAAACATGTAAGAAGACTGGATGCAGGCCTTCTAGCTGCACTGGTTTAAGGAGGCTCTTGTCAGAGTATAGCTGCTGTCGTTCAGCTCACAGGAGTTGATGTGTGTTGGGCATCAGTTTTGTTTCCCATAAAAAGTACAGTCCCAAAATCCTGCACTGAGCTAACAGTAACTACCAGAATATCATAGCACTTTTGTCTGAACAGACATCTTCCAGTTCTCTGATCCCTCATTTTATGCTTTTCATCACAGCAATGCTGATGTGCTGCAGCCCACAGGAGTGAGGATGTGTTTGTGCTGGCCTTCCTTTCAGGGTGTTTGTGGTGGAAAAAGGAGGGTGGCATGTTTTTTTCCCTAAGAGCAGGAGGCTTCAAACTCTCAGTGACACATTGCAGATCACAGTATGACTCTATTTTCTAACTCTCACCTTCCATCTGCTCATTTTCCTCAACTTCCATTCACATTTCACCAGTATCTCAGTGCTTTTCATCTCCCAATTATTCATTCCCTCTACAAAACATAATAAGCATTTTTTTAAAATCACACCCATGAATGTTTATATCGACAAGGTCTGACAGGCATTTCTTTCTCTGCCCTCCTCCCTTCCCATCAGATTGCAGATGGTGGTGCAGCACCTCAGAGTGTGTTCTGCAACACACCTTCAGTGTTTGGCTTTATCAAGTGGGAAAAACAAGGCTTATTCCCCAGTATCACAGAAACAATGCAGATGTACGAGTGTGAAAGGTGCTCTTTTGTTATTGAAAGCACTTAAAAATGAAATGCTTCCCAGGTGGTGTGGGCAGATGCCACAAGCCCTGCTCAGCAGTGCACAACCCCAGCACAGGAGCCATGACATGTGGCTCTCTGCCCAGGCTCATAAGCCCTGCTCAAATCTCTTGCCAGTGTAAGTCTGCAGCTTCTCCTTGTGCTGGCTCACAACTCTGCATGAAGATAGCAGAGTACTGTGCTGCAGAGACCTGCCTGGACTGGCAGCTTTGGTACACCAACCACAGCACTGCAAAGAGATGCAGCAGCATCAATGTCTAGGGGCATAGTTGGGCTGTGAAGTGATCCACTGGCATTGTGAGTCAAGGGGAAAAGCAGCATGAAAACTGTGGCATAACCTTACTGCCAGTCCAGGGCTTAGCCAACAGGACAGCAGTGGCAAGCTGCTGCACTTCCCAAATGGAAGCTGACTTTGTGGCCACTGTGACAGCAGTGATCACCTTTCTCCCTCGTGGTGAGCACACCCTAGGGAGAGGTCTCTGAGTAGTGCCTTGGCACATCAAAGTCGGGGCAACCCTGGCCCAGATCTGTGCCTAACTAACTAATTGTGTGAAGAAGTCACTGTGAGTGCGCCCGCACTGCTAAAGAGGCAACTGCTGCAGAGTGAAGCCCAGCACAAAACCCCTCATCCTACCTATGCCTAACAGCTCTCTCCATGCCTTTCCTTTCCTGACATCTGGCCACG